CCCCCTCCACAGGCAGGCAGGATGCATTCAAACAGTCCACCCCCGGTGACTGATGGACCCAATTGGCTTCTAAAGGGAGCTGGGGGTTATACCCAAGAGCCTGCTGCATGGTCAGTGGAGGCCTTGGCTGCCACCTGGAATAGGAAAGTGGCCGAGGCCTTGGACAAGATCGCGCCCATGCACCCTCTCTTGACCCATCAAACCTGACACTCCCCATGCTTTACGGAGGAGTTGAGGGTTTTGAAAAGGGTTAAAAGATGTCTAGATTGCCACTGGAGGAAAACAAGGACCAAATCTGACCAAACACAAGCTAGAGCTGCTATTAAGGCCTATCTTGTTGTGGTAAGAGTGGCGAAATGTTAATATTTCTCTGCTCTTATTGCATCCGCAGAATGCTGCCTGGTGGCCCTGTTTAAGATTACCTGATCCCTTTTGGGAAAGGGGGGCCCAGCAGCCCATTTACAGGGCTGTGCAGAGGAGTTTTCTAGACATCTGGAGGATAAAATCATTCGGATCCAGTTCCAGTTGGATGCCAAGTGTGAGGCATGATCTATAGAGATGCTCAGGGTATGTTCTTATCCTGTTATCTGGGAACAGTTTGATCCTGTTGAACCCAAGGAAGTGGACGGAGTCCTCTGGATGGTCAATGCCACCACCTTTCAACTAGATCCATGTCCCTCCTGGCTAGTCAAAGCTTCCTGGGAGGTGACATGTGGGTGGGTCCAGGCAATGGTGAATTCTTCCTGGGGGGGGGGGGTTTTCCCGCCTCCCTTAAAGGGGGCTGGTGCACCCCCTCCTCAAGAAGCCATCATTGGATCCCACCATACTGAACAATTTTCATCTGGCCTCCCACCTCCCATTTTAGGGAAGGCGGTTGAAAAGGTGGTGGCATTTCAGCTCCAGAGGATCCTGGAAGAAAAGAATTATCTGGACCCTTTTCAGTCAGGTTTCAGGCCTGGATATGGGATGGAAACGGCATTGGTCACACTCATGAATGATCTCTGGTGGGAGTGGAATGGGGGTAGTATATCCATCCTTGCTCTTCTTGACCTCTCAACGGCTTTCAATACCATCGACCATGGTATCCTTCTGGGTCAACTTGGGGAGTTGGGAGTGGGTGGCCCAGTTTTGCACTGGTTCTCTTCCTTCCTCCAAGGTTGATCCCAAATGGTGTTGAGGTCCAGCTTGTGGCCCCTCCTTTGTGGGGTGTCCCAGGGTTTGGTACTCTCTCTGCTCCTTTTTAACATCTACATGAAACCACTGGGTGAGATCATCCGGCACCATGGGATGATGTAACATCAATATGCAGATGATACCCAGTTATACATTTCCATCCTGGGTGAAGTAAGGGATGCCATGACCACCCTTTCACGGTGCCTGGAGGCTGTGGGGGTCTGGATGGGGTGCAACAGGTTTCAGTTGAACCCTGGTGAGATGGAGTGGCTATGGATTGGCGGCCCCTCTGTATCCAAGGACTTACCATCTTTGGTTTTGGACAGGGTTGCACTGCCCCCGACAGACCCAGTGTGTAATCTGGGGGTCCTCCTGAATTAATGACTCCTGCTCAAGGAGCAGGTGGCAGTCGTGGCCAGGAGGGCCTTTGCCCACCTTCGTGTGGTACACCAGTTATGCCCTTTCCTGGATCAGGAGACTCTCTGGTCAGTCACGTATGTCCTGGTCATCCCTCAGCTAGACTATTGCAATGTGCTGTACATGGGGCTACCTTTGAAGAGTATCCGGAAGCTACAGCTGGTTCAAAATGCGGTGGTGAGGACAATTTTGAGTGCCCCAAGAACAGCACATATAACACCTTTACTGCACAAGCTGCATTGGGTCCCAGTCTGCTTCCAGGTCCAATTCAAAGTGTTGTTATCATCTTTAAAGCCCTACATGGCAGGGTCCAGGTTACCTGAGGGACTGTCTCACCCCGGTCACATCAGCCTGTTTCACCCGGTCAGGCAGAGAGGGCATGTTGTGGATCCTGTCAGTGAGAGAATGTCGGCTGGTAGGCCCAGGATGAGAGCCTTCTCTGCCGTTGCCCCTGCCCTTTGGAACATTCTCCCCCAAAGGTGTGGCAAGTCCCTATCCTCCCGGCCTTCCAGAAAGGACTAAAGACCTGGCTCTGCCAGCTTGCGTGGGGTGATAACAATCTTATCCAATCCTGGGGGTGGGTAGTGCCTTGATGACACTCCCTGAGTGACTGCCAATTATTCTTGGATCTATTTATTTTCTATCTATTAATAGTAGATTGTAATTTTGTAATTTTAATTGATTTTAACTGTTTTGTAAACCGCCCAAAGTCATTTCAATGAGATGGGCGGTGACAAATTTGATATATAAATAAATAAAATAAAATAAATAAATAGTTATAATGTGGTTTTCTTCACTGTCCATATTAATTGGATGTTAAATAAGAGGACAGCTGTATCTAATTACCTCTATCCATCAAGCTTGCAGGATAGATGTGAATTCTGAGAATTCAGGTACATAGAGCGCAGCTGAAAGCAATGCATCTATGTAGTCTAGTGACCAAATATACATGATGTGAATATTAAGTTCTGTCATTGTAGATCACTTCCTTATTTGTTTGATTTATATCCCCACGTTCATTCAGGAGCTCAAGGCAGCATCTTCCACCTATTTTCTCTTGAACTATCTTTGCATCAGTGCCCTAGCATTTGGCCTTGCCATTTTGACAAGCTTCTTTTTCCCTTGGAAAAAGAAGATTGTTCGTGTTAATTATTATGCTAATTACACTTTTATAATTTATGTTAATTACACGTTATATTCTGAAAGCTGTTTTTTTTTAATGTGGTTGGTTTGGGGCAGAAAGTATGTGTATGTATGCATTAACGTGTGTGTGTGTGTGTGAAAGAGATTTTGAAAACAAGACATTTCTAAGATTTACATTTAAGCGGAACAAAATGGAGAAGAGAAGAGTGAAAAGGAGAGAAAGGAGGATACCCTTCCCTTGCACTGCTATGAAAAAAAAATCTAAGCAGTTTTGTAACATCATTAGCTTTTCGATAACTATGACACAAAGTTCTGTGAGCCAGAGTAGTAATTTACCATATGTACTTCCATAGTCCTCTCACAAATTGTATGCTGGTACATCATAATTTCTATTGCGATCTTTTACCATTTTAAAAAATATATTGCTGAAAATAGCATCATAGAAGCATAGAGTTGGAAGGGGGCTCAGAAGTCATCAGTCCCAACCCCCTGCACACTGCAGGATTCACTACCACATCCCCAACAGATGACTATCCAGCCTGTTTGAAAACCTGTAGTATTTTGACTATATATAGAAAAGCAACTAAGAATTTCAGGTATATCCATTTCAATCATTTTGCAGCTTTCACACCATCAGTGGAAAAGATTACCCTCTCTCACACATTCCCAAATCTACTCCAGAGTGGTGAGAAACCTCCAAGAATCTGAGGAAGGAATCTGAGGAAGATGTCCCAGGGCACATCTATTTATTTATTTATTTTTATTAATCAAATTTATACACCATCCATCTCACTTTGCTGTTGTTTGCTGTTGTGTTGATAAAACATGTGCATTTTCTGTATTTTGAGCTGCAGGTATTTGTGCTGGGTAAACTGGTTGAAGGAGCTAACATTACTATGATGATTTCATCAATTTTTAGTATATTTATTGTACTGGTGATTGTGTACGTCAGCTGCCGAAGTCTTCCATGTTGTTCATGCTATGACAGTATCACTGGACTTGTAAGTAGCAACATTAGCAAGCAGTGTGTTCAATCATGAATGCATCACGTTGTAGCACCACTCAAATTAAACAACTGTGGATGTCAATCAGTCCCTAGATGGAGAAAGCTTGCGTCCCCTATAAATTATTGTGAACTTTCCAAGGAATATATATAAAAAGATTTTTTCCCCTTTGTATGTGTTAGATATATTTTTCTTGGACTACTTATGTATAGGAAAAAACTAACTACAATTCTGATTTCAAGGTTTAGTGATTAAAAAGGCATAATTCAATTTTAAGGATGCCCTCTTGTGGGATATGTGCAAAGTTTCCTGTAAATATAGGCTTGTGTACATGATTCAAAAGATATTGCCTATTGTTTCATTATTTATTCCTCTTTTGCACAGCTTGCTATCAGGTTGTTCATGTGAATGATTTAGAAAAATGCTCTTCTGAATAATTGCATCAGTATGGTATCTGTTAAGTAGTTAAATATGATATGATACATAACATTGGTGTCTGTTGTATAATATTTAAATATATGCAATATCACCATCAAAGTTTAGGACTGTGTACAACAAAAATAACAATGGTATAATCAAATACATATATTTAAAATGCCTGTACAAATAAGAACATCTTTCCCTGAAAATCTTCTAAACAAAGGTTCCACACGCTCTTACTTACTTGAATCTTAGTTTTGTTACAGAAGTATAACGACTTTTTGTAAATGAAGTGAGCAATATAATGAAATCCTAGTTTTATGTCTAAATTCTGATATCAGTTTGATCCTCATGCAAGTCTGTTTTAGTATTTTCATATTGTCATTCTTAGGAACAACTAAAAAGTAATGAAGACCAGTTACAAATTACAGAATTAGTCTGCCTTTCACCTGGTATGTACAATCTTCTCATTTTTAAAACTTCAGTGTTAAATTATATTAAATATGCAAGAAATGTTTCAACTTTGCTATATGTGACATGTTTATTATATCCAATTTCCATTATAGATCAAGCAGACAAGATTTTTAATTCTCCAGTACAATTTCCACAACAAAATACAGAAACAGATAATGAACTAAGTGAACCTCCTCCATACATCAGGCTCACTTAGAAACACATTCTAGAAGGATGTCATGTAAGAGACCCTTTATAATTTTAAATACATTATTAAATCTATGTAATTGTTTAAGGAAATTGAAAAACTACTGATTCTCTTGAACAGATCCTGAAAATAGAGGCATTAACATTATTGTTTATCTATCTATCTATCTATCTATCTATCTATCTATCTATCTATCTATCTATCTATCTATCTATCTATCCATCCATCCATCCATCCATCCATCCATCCATCCATCCACATATACACGTTCAAATATATGAATGAATTTAGTTTCATGGTTGTGTACAAAAATGTTTTATTATAAACATGAATAAAAATCATATTTAAATACCTTGAATTAGAAATACAGAATGTGAACATTCCCATGAAGGTCTGGTTCAT